CTCGGCAGTGTGTTATTGATCTAGCTTTAACACGAACTGGTGGCTTCGCCATTGCTACTGGTAGCCAGGCAAACCATATCGGCTGTTTCGCAGCCGCAAAAAGGACGTTCTGTGTAGTTGTTGGGTGTGTCCAAAGTAAAAAGAGAATAGCAGGAAGATGTTGATAATTATTATTAAGAAAGTTAGTGTCGTGGTGTCCTGATCTTAAGTTTCACGTAAACGTACACGTACATGACTTATACGTACACGTAAGAATATACGCATGCACGCACGCACATGTACATGCACATGCATATGCAGATGCACGTACACAGAGAGACTAACCTCGTATCAGATGTAGCTTGGTCACGATATAGGAGATGACAATTGTACAATCATTATGATGTCTCTTGAAACACGTACACGTACACGATTTTTCGATTATAAATCTTGTTGTTGATTAAATATTTATTTAGTAATATATTATGTTGCTTCTCAATAAATATATATAATATTATTTTATTAATAGTGTTACAGGCAACAGACTCTCTTATTCGCGATGACGTTTCTTCTTTCTGAAGGAAACGAAGAGAAACCTGATTAGATAAGAATCAAACTTGCCAATAGAACCGGATAATTGAATAACAGAAACAAAGAGACAGAATGATAGAAACAGAGAATGAATGAATGAATGAATGAATGAAAGAAATAAAGAGAGAGAATGAATTGTTCGAGGGTTGTAAAAGTGAATAAAACGAACGACGGATCCTTGCGGTGATCCGCAGGGTGGCGCGTTCGACTGGCTCCGTTCGTCGACTGACGTGCCGAAAAATGAGAGAGACGGAAAAGCTGCTGTGTCGGCAGCGGGAACGATAAAGAGGGAGCCACGAAACGGTGGATGAGATATATACAGGTGTATGAGATATACAGGTGTATGATGTGCCTTGCTTTTCCTAACTTTTACACATAACATCCACCTTTGCATCAGGCCCTTCATATATTTACAAATACATTTACATATATATGCATATGTGTTGCGTTAGAGACAGCGGAGACGAAATTTGACACATCTTTAGGAAGAGTAAAAAAAGGGACGACGGGGTTACACATATTATTATTAAATGTCTTTCTTTTTGTTTTTTTAAGCAATTAACCCCACGCTCCTAAAAAGGCACGCTGCTTTCTCCTTGATAATTAGATCAGTCGTTACGATGAGGGACAAACGTCGTGACGTGACGTGACGTGACGCAAGTAAGTATGCTTCGAATGGGGAGAAAAAATAAAAACGGTACTTGCGCGGTTCGGGGGTTGCTGAAAGTGTCGGTAAAGATAGAGAGAGGTATGATGAAAAAGCATGACGTTAGAAAGAGAGAAAAAGAAAGGGAAATAGAAATAGAGGGGGTGAGAAAGAGAAAGGGTGAACACGGAAGGTAGTCGAAGAGTTAAGGGGGAGGCATGGGAGATTGGGGGGGGGGGGGAAAGGACGTAGAAACGCACGACGAAGTTAGAAGTGGGGAGACACAAGTGCTACTGGGCCATCGATCGGCTGCGCGGTCGTCGTTGTAGCAGCTGAACGTTCCAAACTGTACGCAGATATCCGTAAGATTGCTCTTAGCACTTTCTTAGATCGTTTTTTATATACATATACTGGATAATATTCTGAAAGAGAGAGAAAGAAAGGAAATGGAAAGGGGTAAGGAAAGTATAAAAAAAATGAGAAAATAAAAAGGAAAACAGCAAAAAAATTAAGATAGAAAAAAAGTCAGAGAAGGACAGGGTCAAGCTAAAGGATTTGGGGATTACCGGGTAAGGGATATATCCCCCTTAAATCCTTTTTGTCAATCCTTTGTTAGGTTGAGTTTTTCGCATAGACATGTAGTAAGTACGTGGAGTACCAAAAAAAAGATGTAAAAGAAGCAGCCGTACTTTAGGCTTTAGGCCAATCTTTTTCTTCTTCTTCTTCTTATTCTTATTCTTCTTATTCTTTTTCTATTTCTTCTTCTTCTTCTTCCGCTGTTTCTTCTGGTTCTTCTAGTATTTTAGGTCAAGTGGATCCCCGAGTCGTGTTGAGCTTGACAGTGTCATTTTCATGCGACTAGTAGGTATGTACATGTCGAGCGTACGTAAAACTTTTGCCCAATGGTAGACTACTAAGATTATCATCGTAAGTACGTATTTAAAAGCTTGTCGTTGAAAGATGGTATGAGAATGAAATAAGAAAAAGGAAACCAACCAAAAATATAAGAAACGTCAAAAACAAAAACAAAAGAAAAAAATGTAAGATTGCTCGCTTGACGATATTTTAGATATATATTCCCGTTGATTCGTCAATCTTATTAAATCTTTTCACGATCTCAAACATTTGTCTTACTTATCAGATTAATCGGCAAATTTAAAATCATGATAATTTATTTCAAATCAATATCCACACACATTTTTATGTGTAACACGGGTCTCCTCAACCCGTATATTAAATAAAAAGATATTATCTTTGAATTAATGTGTCTCTCTCATTTAAAAAGAAAAAAGAAAAGGAAAAGAAAATCTTTAATCCGAGATGTCGTTTCTAATCTGGATTAGTGACGCTTGATATATGTTGCGTTACAATACTCATGAGAGACAATGTTCATCGATCCGTCTTTTTTCTTCTCTCTGATTCGAAGGCATCAAATATATAAGTATAAAAGTAAGTAACATACATTGATGTTAAAGAAACTTCAGGGAATATTGATTTTACATAAAAGAAAACGAAGGACAGGGACGTCTATAGGATTGGCTTGTAAGCTTATCATTTATCATTCCTTCTATCTTTTTCTTTCTTTTCTTCGTTCTGTCCAAATAAGTGACTCGTTCGGTACGTACGAACAACCCAACGACGCCTGTGGAATGACAAATCGGTTAGAAAACACAATTAAAAGTAGTAATAACAGTTTGTGGTCAGACCACGATCCCCTACCGGTAATATTAACGCTTGTTATCGTCGGTATTTGAAAACCAGACAATAAAAAGCGTGTCATTGGCCTACTAAAAATTAAATGCATAGTTTAGGAACCTTTTTTCTTGGCTTGTTTTTTTTTTTAAATAGACACGACTTTTAGAAAACCTTTATCCAAAATAACTTTCTCATCTGTACTAAATAAAAAAAAAAAAACAAATAGATAGCCTTTAAATATCTTTCCTTGGAAAACATGATCTTAAAAATTTATAATTGTTGCAAAAATGAGAATGATCTTTCTGAAATACATATATATATAAATATATGTAGATATCAAATGACTCAATTTATAGAGATTAATAGATCATACAAGATGATAGATACACGATCCCAAAAGCGATAAACTTACTATATCGTTGGCATTGATCCTAACAAGCGATCAAGTTCAACGGTAAGTATTTTGCACTTGGTGTCGAGGACACTACAGACCAGAGGAGGATGGTTGGCTAGATTTTCAAAGGTTCAAACGAAAGAATGTGAAGAACTATGCCCGGTGAGAGTGCAACGTAAGCGATTTTTTTAACCGAATGACGTAAGCATAGACAATCGAACGACAATGACCGTCGATGAATCATTTATATATACTATAGCAGAGTCTAATAATTCTTACAAAATTTTTCTCTATTTGACGTGTAATCTATTAAATTCATTAAAACGAGATAAATCGTCATCATTAATCAAACTTTGTCAATGGTTATTCCATGTTGGTACTTGTGATGATAGAATTCGCGTTAAACGCGTAGCGACGTTTATTAAGGGTCCTTCTATCTATCTCCCTTTATACCTCATGGTGGTCATGGTGACCGTGCTATTGAATGAGAACCATTAGAAAAAGACATTAGAAGTAAAGACCGATCTGCCAATACGTTGGAAATGATGGCTCGTAGTAACGTGGCAGTGAAGCTAACGACTTTATCTCGTTATTAATCGTTTCTGCATTTTTCTATCATCATAACGCGCGCGCGAAAGAAAAAGGGAGAGAGAAAGAGAGAGAGAGAGAAATAAAAAGAAATAAAAGGGAATAATAAAAGGGGAGGAGATCGATCGAAACCACCTATTTGTGCACAATGCAATGTGTCCCTCTTTCTCTCTCTCTCGTTCTTTATTCCTTCCTTTATTTCTTTCTTTTTCTTTCTCTCTCACGCGAACGCTTATTTTAACATAGAAAATAATATCACTCGAAATAGGTACTGCAGTACCATTAACAGCAGTACCATCGTCGTTTTCACGAACATCCACGAAGGCCAGTCGACTAGCTAGCTAGCTAGCTTGACAATAATACTTCTATAAATTTTACTCCGTTTTCAGCAAGGTCAAGCATTTACTTCGAATCGTTGAAATTGAAAAACTCCTGGGCCCCATTATTCGTTGAAATTATAGAATACTTATGCTTTGTACAAATGCTGAAGAAGATTCTGTTAGTTCGTTCCAAAGGAAGAGGAATGATATCTATTTAGAAGAAAAAAAGGAAAAACGAAATAAGATTTTGAAGAGAGAGAACTAAGATTAGTAAGATAATAAAAAGAGGATTTATGAAATAATATTTTTCTCTTATATTCTCATAAGTTTCACAAGCAAAAAGAAACGTTTTGGTCCAGTAATGATAACTCCAGAAGGATCCTTACGAATGGTAGCACCCTCTTTCTCTCTCTCTCATACTTTTCATCGAATTTTGAAAACATTCATGACCTAGCTCGAGGACGAGGTTATTTTGTCGTGATGTCAAAGAGTCAGCAGCACTCAGTAGGAATTCTGGCGCTGTGCCAACCACCGAGAAATAGGTTATCGATCAACCTCTTGCTCTTGGTAATAACTACAGTCCGAACTACGATACGAAAGAGAACTTTGACTCGGGAGATTTCATCCTTCTAAAGTCTAACGCCAGCTTTTTCTTTTTCTTTTTTTTCCTTCGGCACAACTCTTTTAAACAACATAGATTTTTTTTCGATGAAGGAAGGATGAAACCATAGGATTTCCTAAAAATATAGAAAAGGAAAAGGATAATTATAAATTATAGAGAATCCTCTGAAGGCTTGTTAAGAGCGTTTGCATTAGTAAAATAATTAAATTCTTTTTCTTAAACTAATATTTATATATCTGTAAAAACATCTAAAGATAATGTTTGCTGAACTATCAGTCAACGGTACAGTGTCTTTGAATGGTTATCGAGCAAATGGCGCCGCGTTCGTTTCCAATGCTCATTCAAAGAGCCTTCACGCATCAATGATCATGTATGTACCTATGTACGTCTATTCGTATTTTGTATTACAAATATATATCTACTATATAACTATATATAAATATATATATCTCTATATATAACTATATATACTCCCTTTTAAAGAAAAACATTGATGAGTCTACCTATCTAAAAATATCAACTAATTAATAATGATATAAAGGATTAATCAATCTTTCATTATCATCGCATGTTGACATTTAAATTATTTATACATCAGTTAGAAATATTGGATTTTGTGTTTGACAAAAAAAAAAAGAAAATAAAAGAAAGAAAACAAAAAGAAGTGACAATAATTATTAATGCAAATGTGAAAGATATTCGGTCATGATATTTATAGATGACTATTCGCGTATAGTTCTCTGAGTAAGATTGATCGTGAAAACTCGGCCGAATACAAACGATAAAAGTAGGTATGTATATATATATATATATTCCATTTTTAGTTTAGTAGAACATACATGTTATACGCTTTCTAATCGAAAAAAGCAAACTTAGATTGATAACGGAATTAATAGAAGAGAAGGTTTATCGAATTTCTAATTTATTTATTTCACTAGTTTTCTTTTTATCGTTTTAATGAGTAACGATCGGAAATCCGGTTTCATTGCGATAAAGAATTTCAACCTACGCGAGGGAAACATCTATAAGATATATTATACATACACATACTTTCTATTGCAACAATAATCAATCCTTCCTTACAAATATCAATAATTAATTTAAAAATATAAAATGGTCTCTATAAAAATAATAATAATCTCATTTCCAAAAAATTTGACGATATAAATACTACGATATTAATTCAAAAGAAATAAGACCAAATTTGATTAACAATAAATAACATTTATCGACGAATCTCGCGCCATATGGAAATTTAATGGTAACCATGAACACCCTCGTCGTGAGTGTACAGACTTCGTCCTGTCTGCCGCTAGGCGTCGCAGATTCTAATAAAAATCACACGGCGTTCCTTGGAAGCGGTGTATATATATAGAGGAACGTTACAATATATAGATATATATATATATATATACACATACAAAGTTGTATAGAAAATCTAACTGTGTTGCCCTATAGTGAGTGTTATATTGAGCATGTAAAAGTAAGTAGTAGGGTCCGCTCGTCAGCCCTACTGATGAGATGATTCATCGAGCGGGAACCAGGTCTAAACGTTTAGGTAGCAACAAACTGTTATGTCCAAACTTTTTAACATTGAATATACAGCTTTAAAACTAACATCTCTGTACGATATATAACAGGAAATAGTAATAGGAAGTGGGGAGTGAAGAGAGGAGAGAGGAGAAGAGAAGGAGGGAAGAGGAAGGATCGACGCAAAATCGCTTCGAGTAACGTGGTCGACGTCGATGCGTGTACTATATATCGATGGGTGGCGAATGGGTTGCCCGTTGGGTGCTAGGCAGCAGCAAGCTCGATCAAAGAAGAAGAGTGGAGAACACCTCGGTGACTGTCGAATAACGTGCCTGAAATTAGAAAAAATGAATCTCAGTAAAAGATGGTGGTGAACGTTTATAATTTGTCTTCATTTCAATAAGATTCGAGTTTAGCTTCGAAGGAGCTCGACAGGACAACGGTAGCACAACAATCATAACGTCGATAACCGGAGAGGTGAAAGGATAATACTGAAGCAAGTAAAAGGGAAAGAAAGATAGTGAGAGACAGAGAAAGAGAGAGAGAGAAAGAGGCAGATAGAAGAATTTCAAGAGTTTAACTTTACTCACAGTATGGAATTTATACCTGCACGCTCGCTTCTACTTTGAAGAATACTACAGTGGTTATCGGTAGTTAACAGTAACCAGACGAGTATATTACGACCCTTACTAACGATTCTAACGAAACGTGACAATCACGACGATATGTAATCAACGACGTATGCATGTACGCCGTTATCATTTAATAGAACGGAATTAGACAATCGTACGAGGCCCCCTCTTGCAAAATACGCGACTCGTCATGTACCAATTTTTGCATCCTCGTAATCGCCCTTTGCAGAGCCTCATTCTTGGCTTGATAGTTCTAACTTTTTATGCTTACTATCGTACCACCTTCTATGATATTCACCAGTTTGGTTCAGCTAGAAATTTCAGTGAGTATTATATTTTGATTTTTAATGTGTTTACCTTAGTAGAGAATCATCCTTTATTGATAATTATTCCTTTCCAAATCCTTTGTGCAACAATCATCTGATAGATTTATTTATTTCAGGTCACGCCATTTATCAGGATGCACTTAGAAATCAATCGAACCATAGCATAGATATCCAATCCATGCCCAAAAATATGACGTATGAACCTTTGACTTTGAATTCTTATTCTCAACATAATGCAAGCAATCCTGCAACAATTATCACTACAATTTCTACGTCATCTAGTTCTCAAGTTTTGTCTTCCGTAAGCACCTCGCTCAACCTAAAACAAAGCAGTGAAGTACCTTTATTGGAAACAGAAATAGTTGTCAATACACGAAAGAGCATTTCTGTAGTTTCTAATGATTATGCACGTGCCATATATGAAGCTGGACATACCGTACCTATACCAGAAAAATGTCCAGATTTTGGCAAAGAAATGGACTTGGTTATTATTATAATGTCAGCACCTACGCATGTGGAAGCAAGGACAGCAATCAGGCAAACCTGGGGACATTTTGGACAAAGAAGAGATATCAGTATACTCTTTATGTTAGGTGCTACTTTAGATTCTAAAGTTGAAAAAGTACTTGAAAGAGAAGAAAGGATATATGGTGATATGATACGTGGAAAGTTTCTAGATTCTTATTCAAATCTCACTCTTAAAACAATCTCAATTCTGGAATGGGTAGACAGTTATTGTTCTAAGGTGAAATTTGTTCTAAAGACAGATGACGATATGTTTATTAATGTTCCACGTTTGTTAGCATTTATAAACAAGCATGCAAAAGACAAAAGTGTTATATTTGGCAGATTGGCCAGAAAATGGAAACCGATTAGAAATAAGAAGAGCAAATATTATGTATCACAAACACAATTCAAACAGCCCGTATTTCCAGACTTTACTACAGGTCCAGCTTATCTATTATCTAGTGACATAGTGAGAAAATTGTATGACGCTGCTTTGGACCAAACATACCTTAAACTCGAAGATGTTTTCATGACTGGAATCGTTGCGCATAAACTAGGGATTAAGCGAGTGCAAGCTAATGAGTTCCTCAACAAACGCATAGCGTACAGTCTCTGTAATATACAACGGGGAATAAGTATACATATGGTTAAATACAGCGAACAATTTGATCTCTGGAAGAAGTTGCTCGATGGTAAGAGTAAATGTAAGTGATAAGAATAGATAGAAGTTGTATACATAATATTAGAGAATCGAGTGACAGGGTCCTTTGTCACGAAAATTTGACTTGATTCATTCTATTTCACATTTAATAATTACCACTTTTTGGTGGTCTGCGATATATGTATATTTTATTCTACTTTTACGGCCTCAGTGAACAAATACTCTACATAATGGTAGCCCATAGGTAATTTAAATTATTCTAAGTATATAAAATAATAAGATTTTATATTTTAAGAACTCTGGAGTCTATGTTTTTACACATAGTTAGTATTTATTGCGAGATAATATGCCAGCAGGATGATATAGTTTGTTATTGTCATATAATTGGTCTTCTTCTCTTTCCCATTGATATATTATTATTAATAAAGTTTAAAGCTTTCTAATTTCTATGACGTAACAAAAAGGAAGAAGTAAATTTCACATTTAAACGCATTTTATATCGCATAACTCTTACTATATCTGTTTTAATATTAAAAAGAATAACAAAGAATATTATATATTATTCTAATGCCATTTTTTTAACCAGTGATGCTCAATTTGTTTCACAATAAGTAAGAGTATTCCAAGCAACTAAAAGCAATCAGAAAAATGTTCACTTGAGCACTGCTGCCATAAAACCAATAATTTTCCTACATATATTTATACATATATTTTTGCTCATAAATATATATATATTACAGTGAGAAGATCGTATTATATTTGGACTGGTCGTATATAAACTTCTTATTTAATAATTCACATAATCGTAAAAAAAACAATCATATATATATATATAAATATATATATGTGTGTGTGTGTATACATTTATAATATGCATATATTTTTTTCTCTGAATTATTATCTAGTCATTGTCTAGATAATATCTCTACATGCATGTGAAAGCAAACTTCCACGTTATTTATTTATTTTTCTTTCTTTTTATTTTAAAGAAAATTTTCGATTAATATCTCCCTGCCCACGAATAATACGTAGTAGACATTTAAACTGTGTTATGTTTTCCAAGTGCCATATATATAAAAGGATAAAATAAAATAGTATTGTCGTATACGAAAACTATTTTCCTAACGTTGAAAAAACAAGAATTTTGTTTTGAAATTCTTTGGGTTGTGACCATCTTAAAATATGACTGTTTTTTCTCGTTTCTTCCGTCTCTCTCTGTGTGTGTGTCCTTTTTTTATTATTACTATTATTGTCACAAGAATAATATTATATATTTAAATAATCATAAATCATTTTATAGAAAAAAAAAAAAAAAAAAAAAGGAAAAAAAAAAAAAAAAAAAAAAGAGAAAAATGATTATGAGGTAACGATTCTAGTATTAAAAAAAAAAAACGTTTGGGCCAAGGTTTCGTCGTGTAATGCAAATGAGAGCCGCTTGAGAGATCCGATAGTGGCCTTGACACAATTTTCATTCGCATCGAATCGAGATTTTATGATGGCACGTAATTATTATCAATTAGGTGCGCACGTTATTTCATTCTCCTCGACGTTGCATTTATCGCTGATGTGCGTAACAAAAGGGTATAAACGATCCTAAACGATCGCATCTGATAACAAAATTAGAATTTAGAAAGAAACTAACTTCCACGTGAACAAAACAAAAGAAGATAGAAAAAAAAAAAAAGATAAAAAATCCTACGAATACAAATCATAATATATACGTAGCAAGTATTTGCGTGATATGAACTTTTTAAACGAGACAAAATCGATAAAAAAAAAAAAGCTAAAGAAAGAAAGAAAGAAAATTACAAAAAAAAAAAATAATAAAGAATCGATGTTTTTTACTCATATCTAATAATTAACAATAAACTGAAGTTTTACGTAATCGTAAAAAATATTTTGTAAAAAGAAACAACTTCGAACACTATTTTGTAAGTGAATTCTATAATAAAAATAAGATCGCAATACGTGTAAACATAAAGAAGCACGTAAATTTCAAATAAAAAACACAAATTTGAAAGAAAAAACAAGAGGAAAAAGAAACAAAAAAAAATATTGTATATATTATATTGTATATATATATATATACAATATATATATACATATATGCATATTACCCTCGAAATATTTCAAGCAAATGTCTTCGACCGGTTTGAAGAATATCAAATATGAAGGCAAACGAGAAAGAGAAAACTTACTTAAGATTGCACCAGACATATTGGAATTGCACTGAAATGTTCCGATAAAAAGAAAATCTACTAGCGTAGTACTGGTACTTATGTATTGTAGATGTGAAATTGGCGGTTTGTATTGTATGCGTGTGTGTGTATCTGGTAACGTCACGTGACTCATCTTGCGACGTTACTCAAGAAAGAGAGGGAGAAAGAAATAAAGGAAAGAAAACGCGCAAAATTAAAATTTATCTTTTTACATACCTATATTAACGTTAAATTAATATTAAAAAAAAAATGTAACAACAAAAACATTCTGTATTTTAATTTTTATACGAATCAACGACGATGTGATAATATTAATTTAAATTTAAATGATATTAATTTCAGATCCACTACTTGTCCTCCATTTTTTCTATTTTTTTTTTAACGTACTAATAGATATTTTTAAGTTTATCTATTATTTATAAAAAAAAAAAAGACATTTGAATATTAATATTTGTAGATACACTTCTGAGAATATTTATTTCAAAAGAAGTACATTTAAAGTTAAACGGAAGCAAAGGAAAAAATGAGATCATAATAATTAGATATAGAAATAAAAAAAATAAATGATTCATATTAGATCGTGATATTTCAAAAAAGGATCGCGCAATAATATGCGGTATATATTGAACACCTTTCTAGAACTAGTCTCTAAAGATTGTGATTTCTTGTTCTTTTTTTCCAAGTGTATCATTACGATCCAGTAAATTCTTGTTGCAAAACGAACGAACGAACGAACGAGCGAATTCACCGAGGGTGAAACTCTTTTACGCAAACGTCCGTAATTAAATGCAAATACTGCGTGTACTCGTCGAAATTAGTGTTTGCACCGACATCGGCTCGGTCGTTCATCCTTCCTTGGCTGCCAATGCAATCGGTAACAACGAGTTGCGAGACAACCGTCGACGACGATTGCTTTTGTCGATAATAAGGAAGGAGGTCAAGCGTGAAATCACGAATAAATTGAATGAATCAAAAGGATTTCTTACTTTTGAAATTTGTCCCTACCTTCTTTCTCTTTCTTTTCCTATTTCACGCCATGTTTTTAGTACTGTTCCTCTCTCTTTTTTTATTTCATTTATCCTTGGGTAACTTAAATTAAATTAACCATTTGACGTTATAATTGAGTAATAAAATAATTATAATACTTATTCGATAAAGAATATTTTTAACCGATGCGTACATCACGTCCTTCATATAATAATAAATTACTTTATTATTCTGTATTGGTTCTGTATTGTAGTTGAAGATGATATAACTATGGAAAAGATTATCCAATTATCAATATAATAATACTTGATTGTTCCATTGAATTTTTCAAGTAATATACTATTTAATTTAACGGATATGCATCTTATTACAGCTAGTCAAAATAGTATCTAATTATATTAAAAAATAATATAAATACGATAATTAAATCAAATTAATGAAAATAATAATATTTTTAATAGGAATGAAACCAAATTATTACCTTTATTAACGTTTCATTTTTAATTGAGACTTATTCTACAACATTTTTTTATATTTTGATTAATAATTACATCACGTAGAACAGTTGGTATGATTTCTTTCTATATTACCGACTTATCTTTACATAATTTTAATTCCTACCAACATTACCGCAGAAAACTTGGTATAAAACCTGAACAGCAGAAAAAAATGAATAAGTACTCGTAATTCCACACTTTATCAATTAATTATTTAATTAGTTATTAATAATTGAAAATACAAAACCGTTTTTTCTTATTTCTAACCGAAGCAATAAAGTTTTCTATTGTTTTTTGTTTTCAATCAATTGCTCACTTTTTGTTTGTCCGTTTTTCTCCGGTCTTTCTAGCTCCAATATGATGTCGATTTTTTTTAATCTAGTAAGTCTTTTTCTCTATACTTGTTCCAAGACAATCGTTCTTAACAAGTAAACTCCTTTAATTAATAATTAAAACAACATATCTATATTAGATTTCTAATTGTTGTTTGTTTTTAAATGTATATAGAATTTAATTACACATTCACATTGTGTACTCTACTAACTATTAAAAGTTACTAGGAAATAAGAAAGTTTAAAATATATTGAAATTCTAGTAACATTGCTAAGGCGATATCGGTAATAGTAGTGCTCTACCTTTATCTTGCCGACAGTCGATAATACGATTTACCGACCGAAAAGATCTGATGGTAACTTACCATCAGAGTTATCGACAGTAGGTAAATATTTACTATAGAGAATAAATTAATGAAAAGAATATAAATCAAACTATACAAATTCCTATCGTTAACAATATTTATATTATTTTAAAATTTTTTATCCTAATCGATTTGTCCTGCAATAAAGTTGTGTGCGAAAGGAACTCAAATAAAATTAGTAATTAGTGATGGTAAAAAAGGAAACATTTCCATTACGTATATATAAATATTTTAATGACGAATCTAATTAATTCAGCCTACGGTATGATTTAAATACCAAATTACTTGTAAAAAATTTGTTTTACATTAAAAATAAAATGTAAATAATATTTCAAATCAAGTAGTTCAAGTGTTACATTAGAGATTGCATGCGCTTGCGCAGTTTTTTATCCTTATCACTTATGAATCAGCTGATGACAAGAAGACGTTGCGAATTAGTAAAAATTACTTTTGTGTTATAATTTCAAGTAAATATGTCGTTAAATACAGCGCACGCCAATGGAGGCGTACTTATTCACGCCGGAGAAGTGTAAGTATAATAAAATAATTAAATAAATAATATTATAAATGTGTGCTATATGCGTGTGTAGATGTAATGCACTCGTTCGATTGCATCGACTACTAACATTTCTGTAACATCGTAATAACGCATTTTAACCATAAATCAATTTTTCTACATACTAATAGTCTAATTCTCATTACAATCAATGATAATTTAATTACATTAAAAATTTTTAATAAAATTTATAATATTGTCCTACGTTGGATATTTTCTCTTACAGTTAATCATATGTCACAAAGTCAAATATATGTCTCGTGTGACGTGTCTAGCACTCCTTTAATTTCTTTTCTATACTTAACTTTATGTTACTAAGTATAAACGATATTATTAAGTTATTTTTTAACATGAATACTTGTAACTTATTGTTATTTTATATTCTTTTAGTATTTTGTTATATTGCGACAATGTTTCCATGGAATTTCACGGTCAAGAACATTCCGCATTTGTTGGTACAAAACGTGGAAGATTATACTTGACAACCCATAGAATGATTTTCAATGCCAAAAATATAAATGATGAAATGAAATCATTTAGTTTCCCATTTATTACATTGAGCGAAGTTGAATTAGAGCAGCCTATGTTTAGCGCCAATTGTATCAGAGGAAAATGTCGAGCTCAGCCTAATGGAAATTGGATAGGAGAATGCAAATTTAAATTGTATTTCAAAAGCGGAGGTGCCATTGAATTTGGCCAAACCATGTTAAGAGCAGCAGAATTGGGTATGGTCAATGTCATAATGTTATGCAACTTTATAAATTTCTACATACTAATCTCTTGCCATAAAGATTGTTAAAGTTATTGCATGATAATTGCATGGATTTGTTTTCTGTGCTCTTAATAGCACAACGTAATGGCCCTGATCATGATGCTCCACCACCATATACACCACCAACAACAGGCTGGTATGCGGCACCACCAGTAGCTTATTTAGCTCCAGGAACTAGAAATTATGGATGGATGCCACCAGGCAATGTATTTCCTGATGCTCCACCAGGTGAACTTTCAATATAGACAATTTTCTTCATAGTATTATGTATCATTAAACTTTTTGGAAAAATATGATATGCATAACTGTACATTTATTTGGTATTTTTATATTTACAGCGAATAGTGTCTTTATGACAGAGATGCCACCTCCCTATCCTGGTATAAATTCTCCTTATCAGGGATACGCAAGTGGAACACCACAACATCCGCAAGGTGCATGGGGTGGTGTCAATCAGCAATCAAATTGGGTACCAACGCAACCAAATGGAGCACCAGGATTGGCCAATCCCAATTACCCTCTTGGAGGTGTGTATCCAAATTTTAATGAGTATCAACAATGTCCACCATACACACAAAGCCCACCATATACACAAAACCCACCATACACACAAAGTCCACCATATTACACTCAAAGTCCACCATATACACAAGCTCCGCAATATCCACAAAATCCACAGTATACACAAAATCCACTATATACACAATGCCCACCCTACACACCATATCCCGGTGGTAATAATTATTATTCAAAATAATTGTTTATCTCATTTAATTAGATTTTGATCATGGATTATTAAAAATTCTAATTGATATATGCTTTTTGAAAAAGTTTGAATCTTAAAGTATATTTTTATGCAGAAAATTATTAAAGTATTATATTGTTATACATTTAAATATTATATATGTATAAATACATACGTTCTTATATTTACTTCTTACATTAATTAACACTAGAACTACCAACCAATTTTCACCATACATCTGTTAATTTAACCCAACAAAAAAAGGAAATATTATATATATTATTTATTTTAGTTTATGCAATTTTACAATAATGAATAATAATAACAACTTATTTTTAATAATTCTCTAATAATTGTGATTTTGAGTATGTAACAAAAAATAGCTTTAAAATTCACCGTTTTGATGGATTTAGTAGTTCTAGTGTTAAAGTATATTTGTCTTTAAGAAATGTTAAAATATTTGCACAAATATATATACATATATATATGTATATATATTTATTAATCATTGTAATGTAGCAGTTAACGATATATTGTTTCTAAGAGGTTATAACTCTCTGAAACGAGTTATATAATTGATATAACGTGGTATTAAAGGTCAATAAAAAATAACATGCTGTTTTTATTTAATACCTATCAATTACAGATCTAAATTAATCAAAATATTTTCAAAATATTATCATCCTGTAACACCTGTTGACTCACCTGTCAAAATTGAAAGTTTTAGCTAGCATTATGCAATAGCGTTGCATAAATAGTCTTTGAGTGGCACATTGTAAGATTGACTTTCACTGAGCTTAGTTATTATCTCACTGGTATCATAGATATTTTCTAAATGAATTAATAAATGTAATAACTACACTTTTATTGTTTCATATTCTAATTTCTCTAATGAGATAAAAAAGAAGTGTGAAATAAGAAAATTTTTTTATGAAAATAATTTAGCAGTGTTTTAATTTATTTAGTGATTAAATAATATTACTGAAAAAACAG